ACACACACTACATTCTTGCGTCACGTTGTCACCCTCTTATATATATACCAGCCTACCCTGTCTAGTAAATACTAGAGCATTCGCCAAAGTACAGGATAGTTCTAGAAAGTAGAGGGCGTGAGAATCACATGATCTCGATGACGCAACAATATACAATAAACTCAAATGCTCGTAAACATGATGAAAATGTTCTGTTATTCTAATAAAAATCAGCCATACATCAATTAGGGTAAAACGTGGTTATTTTCTAGGTTAATCATTCAATTTTGTAGCAAAACTCGACAAAATAAGTAATTCAAAAAGGTTAAAGGCATGATTGTCACAATTAATATAGAACGTATAGAAAGTTTTAGAGGTTAGTAACACAAATAACTTTATGTTCTCAACTAAGTAATGTTTCTCTAATAGTTTCGTATTCATTTTTGGAATTGTCATTGTTCTAAGATCTTTCTGTTCAATTGTGTAATTAGTTTAATGGATTAAATGTTTTAATGTGATTTTGTTTAGTGATTGTAAGGTTAATAAGTTGTTACATGTTTAGAAAGTTTAAAGCAGCTAAAAATTCTTGCTTTGTTTGTGTTTGCTCAGCGGACAAACGTGTTTTGTGTTTCAAATACTGTGAGATGATAATCTTTTTATTAGGGGTGTATATCTCACCATAGTAGTCGATACGATACTTATCTAGATACAGAAGTTTTAACAACGGTTTGTTACAAAGTTTGACAGTCTTGTCTGTAATCTATTATATATATTACTAACATTGTCTTATTTAAGTACTTCACACTTTACAGTGTTTTTTTTTTCTTCAAATTCTCAGGTTTGTTCAACTAAATGGCAGCTGGCAAGAGAAGTAAATAAAATAAAAAAGTATCTATCTATATATATTTTGTTCTTGTTAATTTGTTATGTTACTTTGCATGCAATGTTTTTGATAAAAGAAATGAAAACAACGTGTAGTACACAATACTTATCTTCCTTTATTGTATCATTAAGTTTTAACAGAAATATATAAGAAATTCTGTTTTTTTTATTGTACAAAAGACTCATAATGTTTACTGAAAGTTTGCCAGATTTCGTGGATATACATAAATCGTGTCGGACGATGTACCGGTACAATCGTATCACGGCTTTACGATACGTATCGCTACACCTTCAGTATTTATATTAAAAATGTAGGCCCGGCATGGCCAGGTGGTTAGGGCGTTCGACTCGCAATCTGCGGGTTCGAATCCCCGTCACACCAAACATGCTCGCCCTTTCAGCCGTGGGTGCGTTATAATAAGACGGTCAATCCCACTATTCGTTGGTAAAAGAGTAGCCCAAGAGTTGGCGGTGGGTAGTGATGACTAGCTGCATTCCCTTTAGTCTTACACTGCTAAATTAGGAACGGCTGGCGCAGATAGCCCTCGTGTAGCTTTGCGCGAAATTAAAAACAGCAAAAACAAAACAATTAAAAATGTAGGCATAGTGTTTGGTGTGTATGTGTATGTGTTTTCTTAAAGCAAACTGGTTTTGTATATCAAGTTCTGTGAGATTGTAATATATTTATATTAAAAATATAGGCCTAGTGTTTGGTAACGGCAATTTACAGAAAAAGTGTTTATTTCGACTACACCTATATTAAAAATATAGGCTAAGTGTTTGGTAACGGCAATTTACAGAAAAAGTGTTTATTTCGACTACACCTATATTAAAAATATAGGCCTAGTGTTTGGTAACGGTATTGAGCAGAGAAAGTATTTATTTATTTCTACTTTATTTAATATTGTTAATTCCCTAAGAAAAAAATGAAGATATATTTTTTTAGAAAACTAAGTATAAAAAGAGAACTTGTGAAGAACAGAAAGTAACAAGGAAACAGTATACTTTAACAAATAAAAAAAAAATACAACAGAAATTCATACTAGAAGGAAAAGTGAAAGGAATGTTTGTATTCAGTAGAAATAGCTATAAAGGAAACTGTTTTTCTTGATTATGTGATGACAATGCTTTGGATAGGAAAGTTTCACAAATTTCTTGCACGATGCATTAACCCTTAAATGCATGAGGTGGGTCAGAAATGACCCACGTTATTGGTTTTATAATGATGATGATGGAATTTTTTGCCACATTTTATTGAATTCTTTAATTTTACTTCCTTGGTGAATAAATCACATAAATTTGGTCAAAACACACACACACACAAAACTGTTTATTCTACAGTAATTTTGAACTAGATGAAATCGGTCGTTAGCGACCCAGGTCATGCACATGGTAAGATTTGTGCTGATTTTATCTGAGAGGATGTGGCGTAGAAAAGAGTAATGAAGAACACGATGAAGACGCATCAAAGAACACTGCTACTACTTCCAAAGTCAAAAGATATTCGATGTGCCCAACCCTATGAAGACAGGGAAACTAGCATATCATGTGCAGAATGGGCGAGAACTGTCTACTTTGCAAACTCACACACAACGAAAACATGTGTTTGTGTTACCAGCAATTTGTAGCTGGCATACCCATAGGAATTGCAATGTATGTACATTGTATCTGGATATTTCTCTTACTGATCTGGTATTTTGACCATCCTGCTTGTGTTCTGTTAGATCTGATAAAAGAAGTTTACACAAAAATTAAGGGTTAGAAACAGAGTTTGATCATATAAAAATATTGCACAAAATTTTCTTCAATTATAGGACAAGCTACTTCCGTTTGTAGGTGTTGCGTCAGCGAGGTCACGTGACTAGTATCACGCCACGTTTTCTAGAAATATCCTGTTCCTTCAAGAATGCCCTAGCATTTACTGGATATGTGTTAGTCTTGTATATATATAAGACGGTCACAACGTGACCGAACAACAGTGTAATGAGTAACTGAACTGCAGTCAGAGAGAATATTGTTAAGCACGTGAGAAGTTCGTTGAGAATTATAGCGCGACTGTTGAAATTAAGTGTATAGCAAAGTTATATTCAGAAAGAATAAACCAGTTTTATTTAAGAAAGGACTTGTGTCGCTAAAGTTTCGTCGGAACGAAGTTACGGAAAATTAACTAACGACTGGAGACGTAACATAGGCAACAAAATGGAAAAAAATCTTGAATAGTAATCATAGGCTATTTGTTATTATCTTTGATTTATATGAACTTTTGCGTAAAGTTTCTCGAGGGCTATCTAGCTAGCCGTCCCTAATTTAGCAGTGAGAGACTAGAGGGAAGACAAATAGTGAACACCATCTACCGTCAACTTTTGAGATACTTTTTATTTATCAATGAGTAGTGTGCCTAATTCTCAGTTTATAACGCCCCCATGACTGAAAGGGCGAACATGTTCGGTGACGGGAATTCGAAGCTGCGTCCGGCAGATTGCGAGTTGAACACTCTAACCACCAAGCTATACCAGTCCTTTGTTATTATTTAAAAGAAGATTGAAAATATAACTGTGTTTGATACGGTTTTTGCATCTTATTATTTTCCGGCAAATTATATTTATAATAGAGTTTTCTTAAAAGCTTCGGCTAAATATACTGAAACATTTTAAATAATTAAATAAATTTGGAACCTTTTCTGCAAGTCATATTATTCTCCAAACATCTAACCTCTGTGAAGTGCAATATTTTTAGTGTGCTTTCATAAAAAATTACCGTTAAAAGTTGTGAACGCACCTAGCATTGTAAATTACAAATTTCGATTACAAAGACAACAAACAAACAAAAAAGTAATAATGGCTGGAGACGGCTTAAATGGGTAATGAAGAAAAACTTTAATATAAGTT